TGGTTGAGCATCATCCATACACTGAAAGGGGTGGGTTCTGTTCCGGCCAGAGCACCTGCCCGGGCTGTGGGCTGGATCCCCAGTAGGGGGTGTGCAGGAGGCAACTGATCAATGTTTCTCTCTCATTGATGTTTCTCTCTCCCTCTCCCCCCCCTAAAAAAATCAATAAAAACACATATTTTTTAAAAAAAAGAATGTTTTTTTGAGTCTGTTTTTGAATCTAGTAACTCCTGTCCTTTGGCAAAATTGCAAAGTGAGAATTATACATAATTTAAAAATATGTTCTTTTAGCTCATAAACTCATGATAAATGATTCCTTTGGCCAGTTAATACTCTTCATTATGAAACAGAGATTGGCATTGTGATCCCCTTTCTTCAGCTCATCAGTTGGTGAGAACTAGTGGCATGACTCTCCTTAAGCAAATGTCTGGAGACTAGGAAGTATAGTCAAGAAGTTGTCAGGGAGGAAAAGGAAACAGCTACCAAGAGAAGCGAGTTCTCATGTATAACTTTTATTTAAACACATTTTCCAGGTGGTCAGCCTTTTATTAATCCATTATCCCTAAAGGTCATTTTTATATTTGTTTTTCTTTTAAGTATACATTAAGTTTTTCTTTCTGATAATACATTCATTGTAGAAATTTTAGGAGAGATAGGAATGTTTAAAAAAATAGAAATTTGCTGTAAACTATGGATGGTAAGTATACTTTGGGTATATTTTCTTCCCCGTTTTATCGTTGCCATTTCCTGCTCCTCTCATTTGTATACTGGTAATTTATAGTCACATACAGACAACATATAATGCTTATTAAAAAGTTGGGATTCATACTTTTATCCCTTACATTGCTGTTAAATGTCTTCAGAAACGGTGTTTAATGTCTGTGTACTGTTCCAGTACATGAATGTTCCAGTGTATGATTTTATTAGGTAAAAGATTTGGAAGTGTAATTACTTGGTCAAAGGTACAAATTGATCTTGGTATATATATATATATGGCTTGCTGACATTCAGACAAGTTATATCAACTTGTACATTCCCATTAGGACAACATACGAGTGCTCTTTCCCCTACAGCTTGGCTAACCATAAAGATTATTATTGAAAGGAAAACAACTTAAGAGGGTAGAAAAGTACCTTATTATTTAATTTATATTTCTTAGGTTATTAGGAAGAATGTTTTTTTCAATGGCCATGCATATTTGTTTTCTTTGTGACCATTCTCAGTAAGCTTTTATCAACTTGGAGTGAATGTACTACTATGGGTACAATTTCTTTAGGGAGATTTTCAGAGGCCTGGTCAATTTCATTAATGCCACTGATATTAGGATATACAGTACTTTTTTTACAAATTTTTACTTGTAGTATGATACATTCTTAATGTTGAACAAGGTGTATAATTGGCATTTACTGCTCTTTGCTTTTCTTTAGTCAGTTATATTAAGGGGCCCTCAGGAACAATTGTCATTGCCCTCCCTACATTTTACTGTATGGAACCTCTTGACATCTCCAGTGGTCACTTCTTTCTCATTCGTCTCCTTCTCCCTCCTTCCACTCTGTGTCTGCACAGTGGCAGTGCTGGCTGATGATGGACTGGCATCTTTTGGTAAGGCTGGACCTCTGCTGCCATAGCTGTCTTCTGCGCCGTGACACGGAAGGTTAGGCATTCTTTCAGCCAGCTGCGAGAGTCATGTTTGACCTTTGGAATTGTCAGGAATAGTTGAAGGAAGTGCTAAATTTTTATCAACAATAAAAATCTAATTTCTATTTTGTATTATAATCAGAGTCTTTAATTTCCCTTAGTTCAACATTTTTTACACTTCTGTAATTAAAATCCTTATGTGTAAAAATAAATAAATAAATAAAATAAAGTAAAATCCTTAGATGGTTGCTAATGTTTCATATGCTATTAAAAAACAGTCATACAAAATTCTTATCTACATCTCACCTTAAATCTTGATATTTCTACAAGTGATCCATCAGATGCAGGAGTTAGAACATCTCTTATTGCTCAAAGTAATTGAAATTAATAGCTGGAGACTATGTGTATATTAGTGAAATTCGTGCTGGAAAGTGTGATTCTATTTTATTAAAATTATGTAATCTTTAGTTGGTGTAAGTGATAGGTCTTTTTTTTGGCATTATGTGACAGACATAATTTAATGTTCTTTATTTAATGCTGCTAAGATTTTCTGTTTTAAAATAAGCATATCTCTATTTTAAAATAACCCATATCTCTACTTGTTACTATTTATTAATCGATTGTAACATTTGTTCCATTAAGAAAGACTGTGTCATTCCTGGCTGGGTAGCGCAGTTGGTTAGAGCATTGTCCTGATATACCAAGGTTTCAGGTTTGGTCAGGGCACATACAAGAATCAACCAATGAATGCATAGATAAGTAGAACAACAAATTGATGTTTCTTTCTCTCTCCCTGCCCCCTTCCTCTCTCTAAAATCAATAAATAAATTAAAAAAAGAGAAAGACTGTGCAGTACATATACTTATGGTAGAAGTATGCAAACATGGAGAGCTATTTGCAAAATCATGTTAATATTATCTCTGGGGAGGTGGGGCAGAAATAGCATTGGGTGAAGGGTAGGGTAGGAAGGTACTAAGACTTCATTTATAGTATTCTGAATATTTTATTGAAAATATTAGAAGCACTCATGTCAGAATGGGGAATAATAAAAATAATATTAAGAATATGTTCTCAAAATAATAGAAATAAATGGTAATAGAATAAGAATAATAGAAATAGGAAAAAGAAAAATAATATTTATTATAGGTGGTAGATGCATACATGCTTCTTATATCTGTCTCTACTATTTTATTTTAAACATTTCTCTAAACCATTAAAAAGAACCATAAAATTATTAGTTGTAATTATTTGTAGTCAAGTTGAAATCAAATTGTTTGCTGGTGTTTCTTGATGTGGGAGGGAGCCACATCGTGGGCACTATACCTTTGTACTTGTAGGTAGAAGTGAGGCAAGAACCAGAGAAGACAGGTGTGGTAGGGAGTTGAAAGTCTTGGGCAGAGGAGAGGATGAGCCTGACAGGGTGTTGTCCTCTAGCCCTGTCTCAGCTGGTATGAAGAGGTTGGACCTTCCACTGATTCTTTTTCTGATGCTTCAAGGTCAGACTCTTTCACTTGGAAAAACCTAAACTCACAGAAAGGTTCTTTGCTTGTATATTTAGTTTTATTTTATCTAGTATTTTAAAAACATGACTGCTTTCTCAGAGGGAAGGCAGGAGTGGGTGGGAGAGGGGAGAGATTAACCTAAGAACTTATATGCATATGTGCATAACCCACGGACATAGACAGTGGTGTGGTGAAGGCCTGGGAGGGTGCAGGGGGGAGGGGATCACTGGAAAAAAGGGGACGTTTGTAATACTTTAAACAATAAAGATAAATTAAAACAAAATAATAAAAATAAAATTTTGACTGCTTTCATTTAATGCTCTAGGATCTATACACACTTAGCAAACCCCCTTTATCTTCTCTTTAGATGTATGGTCACATACTTCCCAGATGCATTCAGAATAAAGATAAAAAAGTCCAGAATATTCTAGATCATTAAGTAAAGGTTTCATCACACTGGACTTAATAAGCCAGAAAAAAATGGCCATATAGCTTTTAGGAAGAGTATAACAATTAATGTGAAAAGTTACGTTAACCCTCCATTAGCAGAAAATAGAATTATTAGAATACTCAATAAACTTCCAATTTTGATAATTGAGTTTTCTCTGATATTCTTTGTCCCAAATAAATTTTGTTTCTTCAACCTCTATTAAAGGTTTTCTGAAACTTTTGAGATTGTCTTGCATGAACTGATTTTCTTTCTTTCTTTTTTTTTTTTAAATATATCTTTATTGATTTCAGAGAGAGGAAAGGACAGGGAGAGAGAGAGATAGAAACATCAATGATGAGAGAGTCATTGATCGAGCCCGCAACCCGGGCATGTGCCCTGACCGGGAATCGAACCCCGATCGCCTGGATCCTAGGTCGATGCTCAACCGCTGAGCCATGCCCGGCTGGGCTGATTTTCTTTTGCATTAAATAGAAAATTGAGGTAAGGATGGGAAAAAACATATTTAGAGAATTATTCACTGATGAAATTATACTCAGGATGTTTGCTTTTCTATTTTGATGGAGATGTTGATGATGCCATCTTCCTTCATATTTGTTGTTATAGGATTTGTACCTTTGTTATAGCATTTGCTTAATTCTACTATATTGTAAATTTAGTGCATGAGAGTATTCCCTGTATACTAGGATTCTCTTATTTTAGGTCACTCTGTGTGCATTCTGTGTACATTGCATTTTTGTTTAAAGATACATCTGTTCTTATAGCTCAGTAGGATGGACATCAGACTAATAGTGAGACCTACAGGCCCTAGAGAATCTGGGTTTTTATTTTATTTTATTGCAAAGATACCAATCTATCTGTCCTACTTACCTGCTAGTAGTATTAAGTGAAGTGCCGTATGTGAAAGTGCTTTTAAAATTTAGGAACATTGCCAGCTGGGCGTAGCCCAGTGGTTGAGCATGGACCTAGGATCTAGGAGATTGAGATTTGATTCCCCGTCAGGGACATGCCCGGGTCGTTGGCTCAGTCCCCAGTAGGGGGCGTGCAGGAGGCAGCCGATCAATGACTCTCTCATCATTGATGTTTCTATCTCTCTCCCTCTCCCTTCCTCTCTCTGAAATCAATAAAGATATATTCAAAAGAAAAAAATTTAGGAACATTGTGCAAAACCATGAGATTTTTCTTACTTGGAGTTATAAACATGAATAAAGTAATATTTAAGAACTGCTCTTTTAAAGGAGGGAGAATTACATGGGGAAGTGACTTACATTTTCAGACTGTGTGTTGATATTATGATAAGCCAAAGGACTAATGTAATAAACTTCAAAAGATCAAAAAGTGAATAGTTAAATTAATCTATATTCCCATGCCCTTGACCATTTGCTTGACCATGACCTGGATTTATTTTTAAGGATTCCTGTACATCAATGGCAGAATCCTCCAGCGATTCAGACCACTTCCGCTCTCGAGACCGATTGAGTCGATGGGCTGCGAGGTCAATACACAGGGATATTCACAATCGTCCTACAGTAGATGTCACCGAGAAGGTCAACACTATAACAAGTACTTTACAGGTTAGTTTAACAATGGTTGCATTAAATCTGTTTTAAATACTTCAAGCTGAGTAATAGTTTTGGTCAGTGTATTAGCTTTTTGCTACCATAACAAATTACCACAAAACTAATGTCTTAACAGGAACTCATTTTCTTACAGCTCTGCAGGTCAGAATCTGACACTAGTTTCATTGGGCAAAAATTAGGGTGTTGGTAGGGCTGCACTCCTTTCTGGAGGCCCTAGGGAAATATCTGAACCCTTGCCTTTTTCCAGTCTCTAGAGGCTGCCCACATTTCCTGTCTGGTGGGTCCCCGCACCTCCACAGCTAGCAGGGGTGGTTGAATCCTTCTCATATCATGTCACTGACTACCTCCTTTGCTTCCCTCTTCCACTTTTAAGGACCATTGTAATTACATTGAGTGCACCCAGTAATCTGGGATAATCCCTCATCTCCAGGTCCTTAATCACATCTGCACAATCCCATTGCCATGTAAGGTTCCGGGGATTAGGGCTTGAACATCTTTGGGGGCCACTATTCTGCCTACCATAGTCAGGAAGGATATTTGAAATATATGCTAGGTGTGGAAAGTGTTCTAGGATGAGGTGGTATTTCCAAATCAGATAATGTAGCCCTAGCCAGTGTGGCTCAGCAGTTAGAGCATCAGCCCGCACACCAAAGGGTCTCAGGTTTGATTCCCAGTCAAGGGCACATACCTGGGTTGCGGCTTCGCTCCCCGGCCCTGATTGGGGTGCATGTGGGACGCAACCAATCTATATGTCTCAATATATATATATTAGGAGTGAAACCATTAGGGATTACCATTATTTAGCTTCTTGTGAACATGTGCTTTCAGAGAATTTGGTCATATTGTGGCTTGGTAGATTCATGGATGAATAATAGTGAGATGCAGTGTTGATTTACAGGCTAACCTTAACTGTTTGGAAGTGTGAGTTGGGGTGGTTTCTATCCTTTCATAAAATGGGCTTGGGAAAAGAGGTAGGGGGAGGGTTAGCACAGAGAGTAATACCTCCATTAATCTCTCAGGTGAAACCTGGCATATTTAGGTAGAAACCATTTTTGTTATGATTGGCACTAAATTTTTTGTTTATAGCTAAAGGTTAAAGGATACTTTTTTCCCCTCCTAATTAAGTTCTGAGGTAAAGTAATAATTGAAATAACATGGATCCCAATCCCAATGGCTTGCTTCTCTTGTAGACAACCTACTAGATTAGTTCTTTTAGCATTCTTTTCATGAAGAGGGTGTGAATTAGTTGAGGTGCACAAATTGATAATGAGCATTTTTTCAGCTTATGGTTTTGTTGCCGACTTATGGTACCTTGGGTAAGGATTTAAATTATGTGCCTCAGATTTCACACAAGTAAATTGCAGATGGATTTTAGTTTCTCAGTTAAGATTTATTTGATATTTATGAAGTATATCGATATCTGACTTAACTCTGATACAAATTGTATCTTTACAAATGGTTGACTTAGCTGTTTGACATACTACTAAGACTGATTGGGAAAATGTTGTTTGGAACAATTAATAAACTCCGTTTTCTTTCTCAAGGACACCAGTCGGAACCTGCGACAAGTAGACCATTTGCTTGGACAGTATCGAGACTATAGTAATGGACAGGCAGGTGCTATAGAACACGTAAGAATGTTTGCATGTTTGTATTTTCTCTTACCTTTTTGGAAATGCAGAACTGAGGATCAGGGATGTGAGCTAAAGGAGGTGATCACTGTCAACAGCTTTAATTTTAGACTGCTTCACTGTTGTGTAGTTTAAATTTCAGTTAGCTCGTCAGATGGATTGCCAACTAGCTTATATCGATTAGATTCCATAGAATTTGAAGGTGTTAAGTCAGAGAGGGAAGAATTCAGGACATGAATTACACTGACTTACTAAATTTGGGCTACAGATAACTCTCATGGGGAGTTAAGAATTTTAAGGGCGGTTTATTTTAAAATAATACATGCTCATTGTTTAAATAAATACTAAATCTCCTATCTCATAGCCCTTCTAAATCCTATTCCAAAGAGGTAACAGTTTTGATAGTTTATTGTATATCTTCCCAAACATTTTCTATGCATGTATAAGCATACATGTGATTGCTTTATAAACTGGAAATATATGTAATGTTATGCAGCTTTTTTCATTTAGTAATATATATGTTTGTATTATTTTCCATATGATGCATACCTCATTCTTTTGAACAGTTACATAATACTCTGTAGTATGGGTGTATACAGTGTGTGTGTGTGTGTGTGTGTGTGTGTGTGTGTGTGTATTTTTTTTGGTAGTGTTGTAAATAATGCACCAATGACCGTTGTGGTTCACATGTTTTCCTATAATCATATGTGATTCCTGAGAGCAGAGTTGCTGGGTTAAAGGATATGTACACTTACAGTTTGCTAGATATTTCAAAATTGCCCTCTCATGGATGTGCCAATTTGTACTTACTTCACATGGGGATGTAAGAAGGAAGCATACTCAAGAATTCTGGGATAAAAGGAGTATTGTTTATTAATATTTTATTAATTTAATTTCTATTATTTCCTTCCTTAGAAATTTGTTAATTCGTCTGCAAACTCTTGGAAACCCAGTTAAATTTATTTCTTCATGTTTCTAATTATGAGTGTATGTTTTAATAAGACTAGTATTATATTTGTACTATAATGATTTATATATATCTCTGCTATACTGAATTGTCACAGAACTTCCAAGTTATAATTGACGATTGTGGTTTTCTTTATACAAAACAGAAGTGCAGTTATCATTATTTGCTTGTACACAGGGAAACGTAGCTTCTTCATAAGGTTTTCTGCTACTTTCATTTAGAAAAGAAACTTGGACTTGCTTGCAGCTAAAATATTTTTATGATTTATGATGTATTTGATAGATGGAGCTATAGGTTTTGTATATTTGGATAGCTCATGAAATGCTGTAGATTAAACTACCTTATTAATAATGGGATGAATACTTTCCCTTTTAATTTATTAGTGAAAAGTTAAAAACACTAGCTAATAGCAGAGAACATCCTACTTTGTCATGTTGAATATTAGATACTTGCTTACGGTAGCAAATTTTCTTTGAATTTGCAATTGGGAAATGAAATTATGTATTAGAGAAAATTCTGTGCAGATAAGCGTTTAAAACACAAACTGTGTTCTACTATGGCAGTAAGCCTTTGTGGTAGGCCTGGAGTTGAGTAATGCTGAACTCTCAGAGTGCTTTTGTATATGCAAAGTAAATGCATTCAACAGGTACTTCATTTCCATATGAGCTGTGAGTACATAGGATGCAAAGCCACTTGTATAAAAAATAAGACACAAGAGAGCCACTGTTTCTTTCTTTGGCTTCAGACTTCCTTAGTCTGGTCTAGAGTCTCCTTCTTAATTTCCTGAAATTCTTGTCCTGTTAAAACAGTTGACTGTCAGTGATTTTCCCCACCAGCACACCGGAAGAATAGTATCACTCACTGCCTTGCGTCATACTCACTTGGTAGAGCAGTGATCATCCCGCCCCGTAAGTTCCCTGGGGCAGCGCTTGCCATCTGTGGGGAGATGTGCAACTCAGCAAGAGCCTTTCTCTCATCAAGTGCTTCTGGTGGGCTCCTCAATGAAAATTGCTTTCTTAGCATTAAAATATTTACTACGATGGAGTATATTATACCTGAAAATGAGTATATTTAATGTGCCAAGGATATGTGGTTTGTATGAATCTTTCTACTTATATTCTTTTTTTAAAAAAAGATTTTATTGATTCCAGAGAAAGGAAGAAGGAGAGATAGAAACGTCATTGATGAGAGAGAGTCATTGATCCACTACCTCCTGCACGCCCCCTACTGGGGACTGAGCCCAAAGCCTGGGCATGTGCCCTGACCAGGAATTGAGCCTTGATGTGACTTTCTGGCCCATGGAGCGACACTCAACCACTAAGCCACACCGCCAGGCTTTCTATTTATATTCTTGATGTCCTTTAAGTACATGGTAGTATTACCCATTTTTTATTTTCTTTAAATCAGTGTGTGTGCTATTTAGGGAGGAACCCTGGAGATTGATGTTTTTTATTTTTGAGACTATGCTTCAATTTATACAAGTCCTCTTACTGTGAAACCTGCTATTTTTAAAAAAAATCCTGTAACAGCTTAATCCATTTTAACCAGTGTTCAACTGTTAAAACTTTTCTCCCTGCTAAATAGCTTTTGCCTCATTGAAATTAGCATTTTTTATTTAAAATATAAGAGATTTCCTAGAAAATGAGATCAACTCTTTTGCTCTAGGGAAGACAAGAACTTTTATTATTAACAGATTTTATAAATGATTCTATTGCTAAACCTCAGGAAATGTATGTTTTATATATGCATTTAAATATTTATTTTATTGGGGTTTAATTTTGTGAACATAATTTGCCAGTTGGTGAGGGGGAATATAAATAATCGGTACAGTGTTTTCCTCCTGAGATCTCCCCCAACAAGAGAACTATGAGAATCATTGCTGTTGGTTTTATAAGGCCTAAGGGTCAATAGTCATGCTGGGTCACCCTTTTGACTACTTTTCCTTGCAATGTATATAATTTCACTATTGTTCCCTTGAATCTCTATAACCTCCAACCCTAAATTTAATTCTTTGCTGATGATATCTGAAGCCCTCTCTGTGAGGAGTTGAGCTGTGTGAGAGGATCAGCAGGGGGTCCTGTGGTATTTTGTGGAGAAACAACACTTGCCTTTTCACAGTCTCTCTGGGAATTTCCCCATATGCTTAGTATATCCCAGGTGCTTTTTTAATATCAACTCATTTAATTCTCTCGACAATGCTATTAGGTAGATACTATTATAATCCTCATTTACAAGACAAAAAACTGAGGCACAGAATGGTCCACAGGCTCCCAGTTAGTCAGGAACAGAGCCAACGATAAGGTGTTATCCTAAAATCCAGCATCGTAATTCATTTACCTCATTTACCTCACGGTTGCTCACATTTTTGTGATGTGAATCTATATTTCTGAAAATTGGGACTTTTCATTCAAAGTTTGAAGGGTTATATAATTTACATTGATAAACTAGATTTTGGAGATTGTCTTAACTGATTGAAAAACAGAAGCCCATTGTCACACAAGTCATTGGTATTATAGCTGATACTATGCCAGGAATTAGAGTTAGATGGAACAAATACAGAAACAGAATTGGGAAGAAATCTGGTGCTGAGCTAGGATTGTCATTGACAATTGTCAGGGTTGGCAGCTTTGGCTGCCGCTTGGGCAGTGTGGCGGGTTCTGCAGCTTGCCTTCTCCAGCATCCGTTTCCCCTTCTTCCTAAGGAACACCCATTGATTCTCCACTTGCCTTTCTTGGAGCCTACCAGCCAATGAGCCATATTTAGTTGGATAGTATGACTTAGGGTCTTTGGGCTCCTTGAATCTCATAACCTTAAGGAAGTGTCATTATTTCTCATTTTGTAAATTTCTTGGGAGGTCTAAGAACATTTGGGCCAAAGAGGACCTGTGGGGAAGGTTTTATTTGAAAGCTTGTTTTGAACATTTGGAACATATTATACTCCAGTGTTAAATAGTGCAGTTTATTAACTTAGTGTTTAGAATATTTCTAGAACTCTGTGTTCCTATTCATGAGACAACAGGGTCTGTTTTTGAGTTAATGCTATAAAAATGGAATGCCCTCAAGAAAGAATATTCAACATAAAAAGTTAATGCCTTCTGCAGTGGAAATGTGGACTGCAGCTGATGAGGCTAAAGTAGTTAATATTGGGTATAAAAGCAAAATACAGTTCCCTTGATTCAAATTAGCTGATTTATTCATTTTTAAGGTAAAGATTGGTTAAAATATAGTAATATCAAATTAGGCCTTAGAGGCTTCCATTAATAGGTAATTTTTCTCCTAATTAAATGCTCTGTTTAAAATTTCCCTTTGGGAGTAATAGGATGTTACCATCTGGCACATGAACTTTGGAAGAATTTAAATGTTGAATAATAAACTCCAGGTTTTTCTTCTATTCTAGTGGGTTTCAGTTGTCTAACATACTTAGTGACACCCCAGAAGGATAATGTTAATGATTTAGAGCCAGGCACAAGCCACCTGTAATATCTCAAAGCTGAAGGTATCTGCCCCTTTCTCTCTGGCTGAGTTTTACTAATTGTCTTGAAGGTGAGAACTGGTCATAGTCTTTTAATAACTTTAAAGTAGTAAGAGTCTAAGAGTAAGAATTTGTAATCATACAATTAAATTCTGCTGGCTTCTTTTCAGATCTTAGGAGTTAGGTTCTTAGAGTTCTGTGTTTAAAATTTTATTACCAAGTCTCTCATGAAACTCCTGGACAGGAGAATAATTTTTACAGAATTTTGCTTTGGTTCTAGTGGAAAAATGCAGATTTTGGAATCAGACTTCAAGTTGAGTCCTGATTTTTCTGCTAGAAACCATTCCGTTGCTTTGGGTAAGCTCCTAAATCTTTCTGAACTTGAGTTTCATCATCTGAAAAATGGGTGTAATCATATAACCCTCCTTATAACATTTATTGAAGTGGTCACACTGTTTCAGATACTTGTTAAACAATTATGTTCTTACTATTTCTTCAACCCATCCAATAATTCCTCTACCTTCAGCATTTGCTCTGTTAATACTGTACTTGGCATGTTATAGGCATTCAGTACATGTTGCTTTTCTTTCCTTGAATTCACTGGGTTTAACTTCAGTTTCTTGAGGGTATCACTGTGACTATAAACAACATAGTCTGTTGCACCATTCACAGTGATATGTGTATCTGATTATTCTGATATAAAAGTATATGCTAAATTAGATAGCATACGCAGTATTGCTTTTTCCTCATGAGTAAATGATTCGCCCACCCAAAATACACTAACGTACTATTAAGAGTGCCTTCCATTTCCCACGACTGCTCATTTATTCACATTCAAAATATTATGTGGAAATATTTTAAAAATTATTTTAAAATTGTGGTTAGAATGTGACACATGGCTTTGAATATTTGGGTTTTCATTTAAAAATAAAATAGTGATATAAATAAAAATGATACTATTTGAAAGGGAACTTTCAAATTTCAGGAATATTATTATGGGCCTATGTTGCCATAAATCAGCATATGAAGAGGTTAGGCCAGAGCTAATGACTTTTTGGTAAATAAAAATAGTAGCAACCATTTAAAAAAATACATTTTAGTAACAGATGGTGGGACCAGAAAAGTGTGCATACCATAAATTTGCACTCTTGTTTAATTTTATAAAGCTCCTCCCCCTCCTCCCCCCTCCTCTTCCTCTCCCTTTTTGTTTTATAGTAGAAAATAAATAGATCGTAAGGAGCCAAAATAGAGCTGATAAATTAGCTCTACAGCCAATCTGTCTTGCAGTCCCTGTTAGGTCGGCCTTGGCATTCTGTAGAGAAGCAGGCAGTGAAGGGAAGCCGAGCCTAAGGCACTTAACAATCAAAGCACCTGTGGATGACAGACAGTATTATCCCCTACAGAATATTTAAAGTGACTTCTTTTCTGCCTCCTTGCCATGGATTTTGCCAAGCTGATCCTTAACATTTATAAATCGAAGTACTTGGGATTTTTTTGGTCAACATATAGATATATCTAAACTTACAAAACTGTCTCCATGGTTTCCAGTGATGTATATACATTGTGAATGTTTGCTAAATACTGACTCTTTAGTGTCAGGTGAAACAAGACCAAATGACTAGACAAAATTTTTAGATGTTCCCAATTTCTGCACAACTGTGCAGCTAAGTACAGTTATCTAATCATGTCCAAATGTGCATGCATTTCTGTAAAATATGTGCTAGGGGATTTTAAAAAACCGGGGACAATTTGGAGTAGGAAAGTATTTGAAGAAACTAAATGGGATCTTTAAATGGTTTCCAAAATTTAAGACTACTTTAAATTGTACCATTTAGAATTTTCCCAAGGTTGTTGCTGAGTTTTTGTGTGTATATATATATTTTTAAGTTATGGTTTTCATTTGTAAGGAAGCTAATTATTTGATGAATATGTGGTAGCTACTGTATTTATGCACACATAGTCACTATTTCTATCATTGTCTCTTTGTGGAATATTGGTAGATATCTTTTAAGAATTTCTTGGTGGTTTTTTTAGTGTAATTTTTTTTCTTCCTCTCACAATGAGCTTAGTCAAGGATGGGATTAGTTTTGTTGAGATTGTGAATTTGTGAGATACACTGGTTATTAATGAAATAGTTGCTTATGTTATATATTGACCAAGGAAGTTTATGCATGGTTTTTTTTTTTTTTTTTTTTGCCATTTTTCATCTTGTCTTATTGAAGCCAAATTTTATTGAATGATTTATTTCTTTAGCATTCCTGACACCGTGGAGCTAGTGCCTAGTTTCCTAGCTGTTTACTACTGCTTGGAAACCTTGCTTTCCAGGGAGTGGTCAAGAAACTTGCAGTTTATGAAATTTGGTATTATGGTTTTTACTTAAACAAACAAAAAATGGAGTTCTGATCTCAGGCGGGGTGGAGTTAGCATCCCCTTCCACTGAGTGTGGCTGTAAAACCTCTTGTGAATGCACGGGGCCGCACTTCGAGGACTCTAAAGTAAGCATAGCAGTCCTGTGGCCTGCCTCCAGTGTGCATGACGTTCATTCCCCCATATGGTCAGTCAGCACCAGTCTCCAAACAATACAATTCAAGTTTCAGTTAGCACAGTAAGTGACTGTGAGTAACTACGTGAAGCACTAACTTCGCTGCTAGCTCTTGCGTCCACGCATTACTCTGTGAATCACAGATCGCTGCTTTTGAAGTCTGTTGCTGGTTGGTCACAGACGGTGAACATGGGTAGTTGTGATACCTCCTTGTCCCAGTGATGATTCCGCATGCTGCATTACAGAAATAAAAAGTGAAAAAAAGGAATTGGTTTGCAAAGATGGAAGTGCAGTGAGGAAATGAGAATGGTAGTGCTGGAAGTGAAATTTGAATCACATTATGGAGGAGTGATGTGTGGGGTTACAGAAGCAATAGCTGGTTGTGGGAGTGTTGACACAGCCTCCGATCAAGAGTCTTTATATGAGCAGCCAAGGAATTCAGTGAAGTCATTTTTAGGGGATGACAAACTTTTCTCAAGAGCTTCTCCAAATTAAAACATCTCATTTCTTTATTCCATTTATTTTTTTGCTCTTATATTCATTCTCTGTATTCATAACAATAAAAACTACCATTTTCCTGAATATTCTAATCTTCACTAGGCATTGTTCTAATTATTTTACCTACCTTGTTCTATTTTATCCTCAAAATAAAATGTGCGGAAGTTATTCTCTGATTCAGTGTGAAAGATGTGGCCAGGAGCAGGGAAGGCAGCATATGCTTTCACTGATCACGTCTCTTATTTGAAGTACCCATTGCTGCGTGGCTGAGCTCCTTTTACGGATTTGGTTAGCAAGGTAGTCTGTCTTTTGGAGTTATAAATTTAAGAAAAAATTCATTGAGCTTGACTTATATTTTGTCTCTAATAAGACTTTTTCAAATAGAGACAGCACAGGGCTTTCAGAGATCTCTATGAGAATTTTAAAATTTGGTATTTTTATTTTAATATTAACCTGAAAGCTTATACAGTTTATAAAAATTCATTTATTTACTACTTTCTAAAATTGAGTTGGTTTCCTAGCATTTTCTAGTGATAACCAATGACTTTTTTCTCTTTGAGGATTATTAACTCACAAGGTTGTGCATATTTGAAGTGTTTTAACCCATTGTAGTTAATATTTTTATTGATGTGCAAATTATTTCATCTTTGGATAGAGGGAGCCTACTCAACTTGACTTCTAAGTTTAAAAGCCTGTCTTAGCAATTTGGATAACTATCTTATAAACAAGTACTGCCATTCAGTTTCAGTCCCTATGTTTTATTTGTACTCGTACTGGTACATAGTAGTAATGCTTCAGCTGTTTTAGTCTCATGTCAAATGAGCAGAGGTGAAAGAACAGATCTAATATGTAAGTGATGCATTTATGTTAAGTTGTGAAAATATCTCATTGCATGTTCTGTGAAGCTGGTTTACAGGGTTTCAGATGTGGGAAAGGGAAGAATGGAGTCATCCCTTGGTCCTTGGTGATGCTGTCAGGCTAGCCTCCAAGAATCTGCACTTTGGAATCAGTACCATAGTCTTGTGTGGAACATCGATTTAGTTTCAGCGAAATAGCACACTAAATTCATATTAAATTGAGCTTGATTAGTGTTTCATTTTCATTTAATTTCAAGTGTGGTTTGCTTTTGCACCTAGTTAGGAGTTATAATCCTAGAACGTTTCACAAAACTTGCATTATTTTATACCTCATCTCTTTGTTTCTCTGTTTTTGTATTTTAGGAGTGATCAGATTGGTTTCAGACATTGTGATTTTGTGCAGTGTCTGTTGTGTTATTGCTACTTTAAGTGTAGATTTTAATTCTGTTGCATTTTTAGTTTGTATTTTAGGTGGAGGACCTGTTTTTGCCATGATATTTATAAAAAATATCTTTACGCTACTTACTTTTCACATTTCATTTTTTGGTCTTTATCAGCGTGTTCATCTGTTTAGTGGCTTATGATATACCTTTATAAAGTTTTAAAATGAAGTTGCCAAATAGTTTGACTAACTCTTTATCTGATTTCTGAAATGATTAATTTCCAACATCTGTTATTCCTCCTGTATTTTGTTCCCTGGGGTTTTAGTTTAATCCTCTCTGTAAGTATATAGCTGTGTACAAGTGTGGGTACACTTAGCGTAGCACTTAGCGTGTTTTTATTTAATGTAGCTCTTTAGGTCTCAAAAGATCTCNCACTTAGCGTAGCACTTAGCGTGTTTTTATTTAATGTAGCTCTTTAGGTCTCAAAAGATCTCTTCTTTTCTCTCCTGCTGGTTGACTCCCTAATAATCTGAGGGGAGCATTTGGACAACTGTAATCTTTAGTATGTACTAACAATCCAACATCAGAGCATGCAGTTTCCTGGGGTTTGAGACTTTGGATGAGTGAAAGATGGTCTGGTATGAAGTTGGGCAGTACACGTTGTTTCAAGAGCAGCGTCACTGGGACAGCTGTTGAGTTTCCTGTTTGTTACAGATCTGGGGTTTCTGAAGGAAGGGAGGACGGCTTTCTCTCTTTTCAGGTGTGTGGGCTTTGTTATGTTTCTAAGCATGGTGGGACGTCAATTAGACATTGCAGTCTGGTTTTGTAAACCCTTAGATAGTAGACATCACTTTTACATTCTGGTAATAAAAAGATGGAATAGGTAGTGACAGATGCTGTTTAAAACCAGATGTTAAAATTGCTTCTTAAAATATTTATGTTTACTGTTTTTATATTTTCTAACATAACTGAGTTAAGAATTTTCTCTGATATAAATTCTCTTTGGGAACCCAGATATTTTAAAAAGAGCTTTTAAAATGTCTAGTCTATTTGTATTTGGAAGTTGTTGAAAGAGAATAAATCTCCCTTCATTATATTCTTTAATTTAGTTAAAAGAAAGCTTGGAACAATCAATAGGCCAACTGCGGAGTCAACGTTTATTGAGACACTCAGGAGGGAGAAGTATTTCTGTTACAAGTCTGAGTGCAAGTGACCTTGATGGTGGCACTGTGACAGGTAAATGCTACAGATGTTCTGAAAACCCTTTTTTGTTTTAAAAATAGTCCCGAAGTGCATAGTGAATCTATTTAATCTTTGGATAATTACAGTCCATAGATAAAATCATACAAATAAGGTGTTAAAGATGCAGTCAAGGATTTCATAGTGAATATTTAAAAATATATTTAACAGTTCTCTGTTCTTACAAGTGTGTTACTTTGTTGTTCTTGGACTCTATAGACCACACAGAGCTTTACCTGACAAAACTTGGATTTAAGCATCTGCCATCAAACAAAATAAACACAAAAATAGGGTTTACTGTGTGATATAGTTTCTGGATTAGGAGTACTAGTTTCGTAGTTTAAAAAAAATCTGATTATGAGTGAAATATCCTATGACACTTAAGAACAGGTGAACTTCATCCTTGGTGTGCAGCTAGAATTCAATGGTTAGATTAAAAGTGAAAACACGTAGTTTGCCTGTAATTAATCTTGTACTTTCCTACAGCACTGAGGTTTATGTTTGAATAAGAAAGACTTTAGAATAGAAAAGAATAGAAGAGCCTACAGTGAGGAGAGGTGATTTAGATAGAGCGAGCTTGAGTAGCTCGCATTGTTAACATTGCTATTGATCATGATAATAAAGATTACAAGTTGAGCAAATCAGCTAGTTTGTATTGATTTTTAAATGCCATTGATATTTTAGATTAATTTATTATTTGAAAACTTCTGTTATATTAGTATTATTTTAGGAGTCATGAAAGTTATTTTTATTTAGCAGTTATTTTTATGTGAAAGAGAATGTATTGCTTCTGTGAAAAGTACAGCAAATTAGAATTTTTGATGTGTTTTATTTCCATCTTATTTCTATTCATTTTATCAGCTTTAAGAGCAAGAGTAGTGCCAATGTTGTGGAATTTTATGGCCACAGTAACGTACGTGGGAAATAGTCCAGGCTGAGGGCACACGTGTATACTCACGTCTGCTGTGTATTTACTGAGCAGAACTTCAGGTTGTTTCCTCTCATGCGGTGTTTTACTCTCTCCCTTTTCTTTCATTTGTAAAGAAAGCCACCGTTTTCCACCTACCTCGCCTCTCAAGGACTATGGGGATCAACAGGGTAGTAAACGAGTTAGATCCAGAGCTGGCATTCGATTTGTTCAGGAGACCGATGACGTGGGCCAGGTACTTGGTGCCATTCTGTACCCTGTATGCCTTACATTCCTGTATAAATGACTAACACTTGAATTTTATGGCTGTATTTTAACCAAGAGTTTCATCGTCAGTAACTTTGTACTAAGTTGTTAAAAACCAAGTAAACTATTTTATTTTCAATGTACTAATTATCATCATATATTTATTTTGAATTTTGTTATCAAGGATAGTATTTTGCAGAATGATTTAAGTGAGTTTATTTGGACATGTTTTGTTTCCTTGTTCCGGCGGCTCACTCTTCCGTAAGCCTTGTCAAGTCAGCCACTTTCTGTTTTGCTAAGTTAGTCCTTGTGTGGTTAACCTATTGATTTTCCCATTAGTGTCTTTCTGATTGTTGAATTTCTTTCTATTAAGCAAGAAATTCCATATTTTTCTATGTATTCACTAAAGATTTCAGAAGTTTTAGTTCTATGGACATACTTCTTTTTCTGCTTCTTTACAGTTTCCCTCAAGAGCTGAACAGATGTTGTTGCCTTGGTCAGCTAAATTAATTGGATAAGGGCTGGGGCTTTGACATCTTTGTTTTGGTAGCTTGAGGACTGAGGGTTCCGAGTTTGTTAGGATACTCGTCTGCAGCTCTCGCTTGTTGCAGCGTAAGATCAAGAGGTAACAGGACCGAGTGCATTGCAAGACACCTTGTAGAAAGTTTTCCTTGACTGTGTTATTTTTTTGGTAGTTATAACTTGCTAGCATGAATGATAGGATTAAACCTGGAGCAGAGAACAAGATCCTAACATTACTCACTTACCCTTTCATTCCATTTGTTTAGTTCCTCTGTCCTGGGAAAGTGCTTGTGCTTGGAAACAGTGATGAACAAAATCCTTGCCTTTCGTGAAACTTATAATCTAGAGTGGGAGCTAGATATTAGTCAAATAAGTGCATAAATGCATCCATAATTATGTGCAGAGATGCATGCTCTAACAGAAAGAAGCACAAGGCTATGGGAATATATAGGAGAGGGACCTGCCCCAGTCAGGGAAGGCTTCTCCAAGAACGCATGGCTGCTGAGCTGAGATCCAAAGGTTCCCTAAGAGTCATTCAAGGTAGAACAAATACCTTGGCAGGAAGGAGGGTAGCATGTATGCATAAATTAAAGAAGGCCATGGGGCTAAAGAAATATGGAGCACTGCCTTGTAAGGGAGTGAGAACTATTGTGAAAAGATCACTCTGGCTCTAGTATTGAAAATTAGGAAAAGATTGCTGTATTCCGGGTGTGAGATAATGGCCACTTGGATTAGGAGAAATGGAGTTGGAAAGAAGGGGATAGACTTAAAAGCTATTTGGTGGAAAAAAATGCAAGGTCTTGAAGATCAGATGACCATTTGAGGAGGGTGAGAATGAGTGAAACGGGGCTGTCAAAGGTGAGTCCTAGGATTCTGGTTTGCAAAATGGGAAAATTACGACGGTGACACTTAAGTGAGTGGTCTGTTGTTCATCCACTGTATCACCTCCACTCCTTTCTCTTTAATTGTTCTTCCTCATTTTAAGTCCATTTTTTAAAGATCCCCTCTAGCTCCACGTGACTGTGTACTCCTTAATGCCCTGGTGAGACATTTGTGGTTTTGTTTACTTATCTGTCTCCCATGTTGAATTGTTAGCTACTTGTTTCCCAGCACAATTGTTGGCACTGATTAGTTGCTCAATGTACATTTGTTGAAACAAATCAATTTGTTGTTTCTGCAAGTCTGTATAGCTTAAAATTTTTTATTATAAATTATAGCATATGCATACATATATAAATATTTACAATTAAAAATACGACAATATGAATGAAAATCCATGTAACCACCACCCAGGCCAAGAAATAGATCATTATTATACTCTCAAAGCCTCTTATATTCCTTCTTTCCCCAAGTGCTATCACTTGTCTTGATGCTTATGTTAATCATCTTGCTTTTTATTTAAAAAAAATCATTTTTACTACTTAAATCATGTTTAGGATTGCTTGCTTTTAAACTATAAATGGAATAATACTGTAGACCTTTTATAACTTGATTTTTCCATTTAATGTTATGTTTTTGACATTCAGTCTTACTAATGTGTAGGTAGGTTTGATCATTTCACTTTTACTGCTATAGGATGCACAACTGGAGCAATATATTACAATTTATTTATTTCCATTCTATTTTTAATGGATTTCTGGTTTGTTTTCAGTGTTCTTATTATGAACAGGCTGCTCCAAACATTCTTGTACGTGGTTCTTGGTACACGTGGGGAGAGTTTCTCTGCAGTCTGGGTTGGCAGGCTGCAGGGGGTGGTCTGCTTGAATAAGGCTCTGTTATAACACAGTCATGTTCATTTGTTTATGGCTACTTTGGTGCTATGATAGAAGAGTTGAATAACTGTCAGAGACCAGATAACTCGAAAGCCTGAAATATTTGCTGTTGTACCAGTTTGCTGACCCCTTTTCTAGGCTATCTATAAGGAGTGGAATTATTGTACTATAGAGATGTGATGGTTAATATTAAATATTACTTTTTAAAAATTGCTTTTGTTTGGAAATAATATTTTATTTCTTTCAGAGTAGATATTAATTTTTTTCTCATTTTTAATAACATTATAAAATTTGGGCCTTATTATAAAGAACAAATTCTTATTCTTACCCTCAGTGAATTTTCATGGAAGAATTCAGCAGAATCCTAAGTGGATAACTATGTTTTGCCTTTTCTAGCTACATGCTTTTCATCAGTCCCTCCGAGACCTCAGCAGTGAGCAAGTTCGCCTTGGAGATGATTTCAACCGGGAGCTGGCCAGGAGAAGCAGGTAAAAGCAGAGTATGGTTTTCACTGGAGGCACAAGTTATTAGAAGAAGAAAGTAGGGTCTATAATTGACATGTTCACATGAATTTAAAAAGCTATGCCGCGTTTTTATAGTAAGACATTCAAGACCTTTGAATTTAGAATGTATCATGATGACTCAATGTTAGAGAAGTTAATTTCATACTTTTCAAAACATTTTAACTTATTATAATGAAATGCTGACACTGCAGAGACATACATTGTAGAATGTTAGCAAAGAGGTAGATTTACAAATACGTTGAGGAGAGAGAGATGGAGACAGACAGACAGACACAGAGACCACCTGACTAACAATGGAGCTATAAAATAAAAAGCATAATGTGGAATTTGTTGATTGATGAACGTGGCCCATTGTAGAATCTGATATTTCAGCTTTCAGTTGAAATCTTCAAAAGCCAGTGGTTTATATCTGCCCAGTCTGTGCAGTTTTGTCAGTTTTTGGTAGTCCCCAAGAAGTGTTACTTTATTTAAAATTTCTTCATTGTCTCTTCATTTTCCTCATCAGCTGTGACAGCTGGCTTTCATTTGGAGGCCAAGTTTTTACAAGAAACAAAGATTTTGTATCCCTTCTCAAGGGTCACAATCTGTGCAGCAATGATTAGGGAACAGCAGAGCTGAATTAAAATTTGTTTACCAAGTTCACTTGCTAACTCCCACTCCAGCTAATGAAATCATTTCACACACCAATTTGGTGTTGCTATAGCAAAAAGAGTCAAAACTATAACTGTTAAATCTATGAATATCAACTATATTTTGTATAACTTACCTGCTTTTATATGAAGAAAGCAGGAAGTTTAGTAATAATTAAAGACCTCACTAATACTATTATTACTAATACTACTAGTTAACATTATTGAACATATATATCATGCCAGGTAGTTTTAGGTTTCATTCTTGCAAAATCCTAATGAGGTAGTCATTATTTCCTCCATTTTTTGGATGTGGAAATGGGCAGAGGTGGGATAACTCAGTTTGCTGGAGATCAGATGGGGATGTGATGGAGTCAGAATTCAAATCCAGGCAGTAAGGCCCACTGTGGTTCAAGGTCATTTTCATATTTAGCTGATAGGAATGAGGCATTTAAATTCCTGAATTTTGAGCTATATTATGGAGCTATATCATTAATCTTTTAAACTGATAAGGGTTAGTTAATTTAATACTTAGATTTTTTTTTTGACAAGTTGATAAAGTCAACAGAACGGCACCAACATTCTAATAGAGTATGTTCCTGGAGTGGCTCTATGATGGAGCTTTTACCCACTCGAAGGAGGGGTATAAATTAAGCCCTGGAATGTGAGTTTAGAAGTAGTTGTCCTGTAAGAAGATGCAGGGGAGGTTGCAGGGATGACTTATTTGGTTAGTTTAAATGAACATTTGGATGTGCAGTGGTGGACTGGAAATCTACTGGTCCATGGGCTGGTACCATTTAGTAATAGTTTGTGTGACCTGGAGGTATGTGTGAGGAAGAGAAACTTTATTTAACCCAAAACAGGAGTCATATTTCTTCTGAAACTTGGTGGCTTAACTTTGTGGATGAGGAAGACTTTAGGATCCAGTTCTGCTTTATTTTTACCACAAATTTTTAATTAATGTTTATAAAACTATCTTGGGTAGTAAGTTGCTAGGTTTATTTTTCTGTCTGATTTAGAAAGGTTGATATGCTCATTCAATTATTAATTTAAAAATTTTTTCTTTTATTGTAAAAAGTACACTGGAAAGCAAGCTTTTAGAAAGGATTAAATAAAGTTTCATCCATAATTCACCTAACTTGGATGCCATATGTAGAATTGATTCGAGGAGGGCGAGTTAGAAGTTTTTTGCATTAATAGATGACGCATGGTCATGGCTTGATCAGACTATGGCAAGGGGCAGCTGGACAGGAGTGTGTTTCAAGGTACTTTTTTGCATATTGAAGAGGTGGGATTTAGCAGTGTGCTGGACATGGAGGGGATAAGGGAGAATAAGCCCAAGATGACTCCCAGATTTCTGACTTGAGTAACTGGGTAGATGGTAATTCCACTTCTGAAATATGGAAGACTGGTGGAAGTAGGTGGGGGTGTAGGAATTAGGGTTTGACCTTGGATATGTTAGGTTTAAGATGTCTGTGAGACATCAAATAGAAATGTAAAATACTCAGCTAGGTATTTACTTTGGAGCTCAAAGGAGAAGTCTCTTTTAGAGATATTAAGAGTGGTCAGTATGTAGAAGTGGCATTTGGAACTGTGGAAATGGAGGATATTTAGAGGGAAACGATAGTGAGAGCATCGAAGACAGGGTGGAATGCTAAGACACTGAAATACTCAGAAGCTATGCACAAAGAGGAACTGGACCCAGAAGCATCAGCTAGTGAGAAGTGGGAAATCCAGGAGCACACGGGACCACAAAAGCTAAAAAAGAGGTACAAGTAAGGACATTTTCAGAGATATAAAGACTTAGAAAATTTACCTTTTAAGGTAACTTCTTTCTAAGGAAATTACACAAGAATATATAAGTAAAATAGATGCTACCAAGAAAGAGGAAGATACAGGTTATAAAAAATACAGTAGTAAAACTAACTCAGAAATTCAGTGAAAATAATCCCCAGAATGAGAGCCACATAGCTGGCTTAGGAACCATTATCTCTGAATTAGAGCAGGAAGGACGTGTCCCTGAGAGTAATGGAGTTGAATGGAGTTGATTCTAATAAATGATTCAGTAACACGTGGGAGAGAAATATCAATAATGTGATAAAGCCCATAGAAGGCCAGAAGGTGAGAAACTTGCAAAAAAACAAAGCACAAGAAAATGAATGATCCAAGTAAGAAGGTGACTAAAATGTAAGCATGACAGAAGGTAACCAAAAAGCATCGATTCTGTATGATGGAATTTTGATGAGAGGTACAAGTATACTATGCAAGTCACACAGATAACTAATAAAGAACTGAAAATAGCAATACATTCATCCAAAATTGGAGAGGAGTGTGAGTGAGCTAAAGGTTTCAAAACAGGGAGCCAATCTAAAATGTTGAATTGAAAATGATGGAAGTAGCCAGCAAAGAATTAAGAATGGAAGTGGTGGAACATGGTTGCCGGTGGGGCGTGGGCTAGAGGCGAGGAGGTGTGAGAGAGGAAGGCCTTGCTTTTCTTTGTAAGTCTTTCTGTACTATTTTATTATTGATCCTGTACATTACTGATTTGATGGGAAAAGGTAATGGGAGATAAGTTAGTGAGGACCCAGTTTGATGTAATTTGATTATGAATTGCTAGAAAGGATATGAGACTGAGTTTTGTTCTCCCTCCTTTCCTCTCTTCCTTCGTAATTTAAAATGGAAGATGTTGCAGCCTATTTATTGAAGGTAATGGTCTGGTATAGCAGTGGCTCTCAAAGTGTAATCCCCAGACCAGCAGCGTCAACATCACCTAGGAATTTGTAGAAATGCAGCTACTTGGGCCCCATCCCAGGGCTACTGATTCAGAAATTTTGGGGGTTGGGTTCAACACTTTGTGTTTTTCACAAGCCCTTCAGGTGTTTTATATGTTTGCTAACATTTGAAAGCCACTGTGGTAGAATATCATGTAATAACATTATTATGTTGTAATTTTTATTAATGGTATATATTTTCTCAAGTAGCCAACTTAAAATATTTTTCTTTGTTGCCTAGGTCGGATGCTGAAACAAGAAGGGTTTTGGAAAGATTGACTGAAAAACTTGGCGAAACCCAAAAACACGAAGTGGTGAGGACTGTTTGTTTATAAAAAGTTTTATTTCTTGTGTAGATGGTACAGAGCAGGGGCAGGGATGCCTGGTGCCGGAAATCATTTGGTCTGGCCCTGCCAAGGCAACCATAGGCAGGACTCAAAATTCAGTGTATCTAGGAGCTTTTTTCATAGCCAATTTTTAAGTTGATAATTTTGTATGGCCCGCGAATGTTATAAATATCCAAATGGCCCTTGGCAGAAAAAAGTTTCCCCACCTGTGGTATAGAGGGTGGCTGGACTCTATACTGGCAATGAAGTTTAGTAAATTTTAACTTTTTGGATGGTATATGTCGTTTTGTCTAATAATATGTTTTACAGCTCTTATAAAATGTTCGTGAATTTTAAGTATTTAAGTTTGGAGTATTTACAGCAGTAGTATATTAGAGATATAGTTATCATTTGTTTTAATTGTTAGAGTTTTATTATGAGTATTTTAAATTGTATTGAGTCAGTTATGCTTCTATAGCTTTTGTTAAATGATATAAATGATATTTGAGAAACACAGAATTTTTGGTAGTGGTTCTGTAGCACTCCTATTAAGTATTTCAGGTTATCTCACGTAAGTCTGTACATAGTTGCTAGAGACCTTGCTGTCTGTTTTGTCTTGGGTAGTACTGATTGAAAATACCCCTAATTGTCGAGTTTTATTATCTCAAACTCGGGTTGTGCATGGTGGTGTGGCATCTAATGTGTGATCAGGACATGGGATACTTATTTTCTTACATAAAGTCCTAGATTTTCCCAGGCATACCAAGGGCACCTTTAATTTACACTGTAGCTGTCTAAAATATTTACAATATCTACTTCAAAAAGGTATTTTTTTGAGATGAACAGATTGCTGCCTGTCTTCTTTGCAGTTGTTCACACAGAAAGAAATTTATGCCAGTCTCTGCTGTACACCCTTTCTCCACAGGAGCCGAATGTGCACTTTCAAGAATGTAGCTCTAAGGCCCTCCATACCGTACTAACTGGCCTTCTGGCTCTTCTCTAGACCAGAGCCTGCCACTTGACAGCGAAAGCTGCTGAAGCTTTCTGTCTTTGTTCTTCTTTATAATTTTTAAAATTTGGGGGTATAATGCACTCGATTAATTATTGCAAGGTGAACGTGCCCATGTGACTGCTACCGGATCTAGAACTAGGACATCACCAGCACACAGGAGCCTCCTTGTTTGCCCTCCCAATCACTAACTCTTTCTTTTTTAAAGATGACTGTTTTTTTGACTTTCACCCTGTAGATTAATTCTGCCTGTTTTGGACTTTATATAAATGCAATCATTCAGGACATGTTTTTGTGTCTGACTTCTTTTGCTAGACATTATGATTGCGATATTTCTGGGTGTTGTGTCATGTACTTGCAGTTAGTTCATTTTTATTGCTCTTTAGTATTCCATTGTATGAATATACTGTAATATATTGTAACATTTCATGATGGATATTTGAATTATTTCAAATTTTGGGCTGTTATGAGTAATGCTGTGGTGACTGATTTTATTATTTAAGTGCAGTTGCGCTTGCATTTCTGTAGGTACATTCAATGCAATTGCTAGGTGCCTTCCAATTCAGTTGGTCCTGAAAAGTAGGTTTTCAAAGTGGCGGCACTAATTTATACTCTTATTGTCAGTGTGAGAATTCGTGTTGCCCCTCATCCTTTCCAACACTGATACTATTGAGTCTTTCGGTAATAGCCATTATTTATGTTGGGTGTTTATGGCATCTCATCGTGGTTTTAATTTGCATTTTCATGATTACTAATGCTGATGAGCACCTTTTTTTATGTGTTTGTTCGCTACTGGCTATTTTCGTTTTTGAAACGGCAGTTTGCTTTTTTGCCCACTCTTTTATTTAGTTGCTTGTCTTTTTGTTATTGATTTGTGGGAGGTCTTTATATATCTTGTGTATGATCACTTTGTCAGTTATATGTATTGCAAATATTGTCTCCCATTCTACAACTGTTTCTTCTCATTTTTAAAACTCTCTTAATGGGACCTTCTGTTGATGACAGAAAATATATTTCATTCTCTGCAAAGAAAAGTTGCTTAGATAATTATTATGTATGAGAGGACATATTTGCTTTGTGTTATAGACTAGGGGCCATAGCAGTCATGGATCACCTTATTGTTTGTTGAGATATTTCAATATGAAACTTCAGTGCCAGGTTTTAACCGTTTCTGGTCCACCCTTACTGTTAGTGTATCGTCCTTCAGATTCCAACCCGAAGGCTAGGGGATTGGTAGGGGGTTTAACCAGGTACCCCCTTCCTTGGAAAGGCTCTTAACTTCATTTTCCCCCCACATATCTGTTAAACACTATTCAGCTTCTCAGTGTCTCAGCTGCCTTTTCTGAAATGGGCTGATATTTCAGGGAGAAAGTAGCCTGAAAATATGGACTGACCTCTATGAGTTTCTTCTGCATTTGGTCTTATATGTCTTTATGTCATTTTAGTTTTCCAGACTTTTATTTAAAATATTATTTCTGGTTTTTTAGTTATTTTCATTGGAAGGGTTGGTCTGGATTATTTAGCCTGTCCTTTTTGGAAATGAAACTCCTTCAATCTTTTTGTTTATATCAGATTTAATTACTAGGTTTGCTATTTCTAATGCGTAAGATTTTAGAGTTTTTCAGCTGTTGTATGATGCTCCTTTTACTTGCTATGTAGGTATACAACCTGTGAGCATGCTTGTAACTAGGACTTTGATCCAGACTTGAATATCCTCAGTGCTCTGCTGAGATCCTTGTAGACCTGAGAAGCCATGGGTATATCCAGTTGAACTGTCCTGTTTTTGACATTGTTAGATATTTGGAGTGGTTTGAGTTTTTTGAAAATACTCATTGCATTGTGCACGTTACATTTGTTAAGCTTCATCTTTAACCATGTTAAAGAGAACCCATAATGAACAGTCATTTCATTTTTTTTCTTTCAGATAGCAAATAAAGCTAAAAAGTACTGTCTACATACTATAGAGTGTTGATGTGGGTCTAAAGTGTAACTACTGAGCCAAAAGTTAATAACTAGCTAAATTTAAAGAAAGCCTGAATCCTTTCATATCATTACCGTTGATTGGAATTACTCCACATCAGATAAAGCTATGGTTGCACACCTGGATGTCACACCTCACTAGGTGTAATTGGTGTATACACTGTGCTAGTGTGTATCAGCTGCCCAGTGTGCTTAGCTCATCAGGACACATTCTTCCAGATTGTCTAAACCTGGAAAATTAAACACACCTAACTGTGCACTCGATTGAATTGCTCATTGCCAGTTCCTCACATCAAGTTGTGATGTTACAGCTCATTTGGTGCTTTCTGTAAATGTGCTTTCAAGTAGGATTGTTCTTAGCTGTGTAAAGGGCTTCTCAGACCTCATGTGGGTGCGTGTGTTGACCTGATTAAGAAACACTTGTCTGAGGCAAAAACTTAAAAGTGATATTGTTGAATTTCAGAAGGTCTTCTGAAGGCCACATGATGTTTACTTCCAGTTTGTACAAGGCTTAATATAGATTTTGTGAGTCACTTATTCCAACTGAAGTCAGCATTTACATTTTATAACTATTTGACATATTGTGTTGTATTTGTGAATTCATGATCGCAAACTGTCAGAAAAGATGTGGTTTTGTTATTTGAGCGTTAAACTTCTCAGAGCTGCAGCTGTTTCCCCCTCCAGATTTAAGTTGAGAATAAAATTTCCAAAATGATGCATGTTCATGGTGGAAAACTTTTAAATATTGTACAAATATACAAAGAAAAATGAACGACTGCCCCTATCTCCCACCAATTTCATTTTCTGTTGGTAAACGCTGTTAATCTCATTTATTGTGCATTATTCTGAGGCTGCAGTTGTTTATCGTGTGTTTTCTCAGTAACTAAAATATATCTTGAAAGTTTATAGAACACATTTTTCTTTGAGAGGCAAAAGGTACTGGTTTCTATCATACCTGCCAAGGTCTGATTTGTTAATCCTTTGTGAATCATAGATTTTTGTTTGTTTTTCAAGCTGCCCGTTGGAAGGGAATAGTTATTACTTATAGCATGATGTTATGGAAAATATTTTCTGTTAACACTTAACTGTGGTAATAAACAATTAATATTGCATGAACCTTATACCACAGAGGACATCCGTTGTCTAGAATTTACCCAGTTTGGTCTGATATGAGTGCATATTAAAGTTTGATTATTCATAGAGGAAAAGGTCCATTTTATTGTAGTTTTCTATAGAAGTGTCACTATTTTAATTAAAAATGTGACCATGGATCCAGCTGTTTCTGGATGAGTTGGTCATGAATTGAAGTAAGAATTCTCAACCCTGGATTTAGAACAACACAGTTACTGTATAGATTGCAAAAGCAGGATGCACAACAAATATTTATTGAAATGTATTTTACAACAGCATATGCTGTGAAAGATCTGAGGAATCAACATATTGAAAGTCAGTGTACAACCCCATAAATAGAAGGCCTTTGCTTTTGTTTCACCTCCATTCCTTAACGGCTAGCTTTAAAAGCTATTCTAATTTTTATTCTTATTGTAGTATTTTTATACCTAAATATAGAGACTTTGGACTTTTTGATATCTGAGTACTAAATTTAATTTTACTGACTTAAACCATTTATTGACTGACAGTTTCTGTAGGTTAGGGGTCCAGGCCTGGCTTAGCTGGCTCCTGTGGCTCTGGGTCTCTCACAGGCTACAGTCATCTCACATCTTTCCTCCAGTGGCTTTACTTCCTAGCTCATTTAGTTCCTTGTAGATTATTGTACTGAGGTATCAGTTTGTCATGACCTGTTGGTCAGAGGGCTCTTTTGTTTCCTTGACACATGGCCTTTCCATAGAGCATCTCACAACGTGGCAGCTTGTTTCATTAGAGCGAGCCAGCAAGAAGGTAGGAGAGAGGGCCAGCAAGAGAGAACATGTTAGTAAGATGGAAGCACAATTTTTGTAACCTAATTATGGAAGTGACATCTCATCGCTTGTTCTGTATCCTGTTTATTAGAAGGAAGTCACTAGGGCCACTCCACACTCAAGAGGAGGGGGTTACACAAGTGCATGAGTACCAAGAAGCAGGGACCATTGAAACCTTGTCAGAGACTGCCTAACACAAACATCATTTCAAAACTGGGAGACAATCATCAAATATAGTGACTCCAAATCATCACATGTCCTGGTAATGGTAGTGAAGTAGATCATGTCTAAGTCATTTTAGATTTTGATTTCAGTATTTGGTTATTTGAACTGGTTTAATTTTGATAGGATGCTAATAAGCATGATCTTCTTTCCTGAAATATACAAGTCATCCAACTCACTGAATTTAATTAGAGAAATCCTACCTACTTACTCAATGTCAGCCCTCAATAGGTAGCAAGCTATTAGAGGGCAGGGTCTGTGGATACAGTTTGTGTATTGCTATATCCTGAATCTCTACCTGGCATAATAACTGGAATGAATTAGTGCTTGTGTATGCTTACTGGGTGAATGAGTGAAAATGGACCTGGGGGTTACAAGGTACTGCTGGAAATGGGGAGCAGTGCTGGGCTTATTTTTCTCACTAATTAGTTGCGTGATCCTGAATTAATAACTTCATCAGAGATTCATGTCTTTTGATTCAACAATTTCACTTAAAGATTGTATCTTTAGTTTACAAAAATAATCTTATTTAGGAATGTTTGTTACATGTACTAGTAAAAATAAATGTTATCCCATTATCAGTAGGGAATTATTTTAATCAATTATGGAAAACTATGCATTTGCTAAGAATGAGTATGTAAATTATTTGTTGTCATGGAAAGTTGTCCATGATATGTAACAGAAAAAAATTTATACAATACTATGTGAAATACCCAACTTTTGTTCAAAAAAAGAAATGAAGTGGATATGTGTTTGACTAGTCATGCACATATGCATGGAAAAAATTCTGGAAGTATACTGCAAGATACCTAACAATGTTTTCCTCTTGGTGGATGGTATTTTTATTTCTTTTTATAATTCTGTATTGTTTATTTTTAATTGTGGTAAATATATATAACATAAAATTTACCGTCTTAGCCATTTTTAAGTGTTCAGTTCAAGTACATTCACACTGTTGTATGACCAAATCCAGAACTCTTTTCATCTTGCAAAATCGAAACGATACCCGTTAAGCAGCAAGTCCCCATTCAAAGCATCAGAACCTTCCTAGCCATGCTGCCCCCGCCAGCCGCCGTTCTGCTTTGCCTCTGTCTGTGTATGGGACTGCCCTTGGCGCCCCGCTACTTAGCATAATGACTTCAGGTCCCTCCGCGTTACAGCATGTGTAAGAATCCTCTCCCTCCTAAAGCCCAGCCCTATTCCACTGTATGTGGGAGGCACATTTGGTTTTGTACTTACCTGTCAGTGGCATTTGGGTTGCCTCCATCCTTTGGCTATTACGAATAATGCTGCTATGAGGATGGGGGTGCAAATATCTGCTTTCAGTTCTTTTGGGCATATACCTAGATACGGAATTGGTGGACCATAAGGCAATTCTATTTTTAATTTTTAAGGAACCACCACACTGTTTTCCATTGCGGCTGTACCATTTTACATTCCCACCAATGGTGCTGTGCATGAGTTCTACTTTCTCCACTTTTTTCCCCCCACTTTTATTTTTTTGGTAGTAGCCATGCTAATGATTTTGAAGTTGTTCTGAATTATTTATTTTTTGGTGTGTTGCTATTAATTACTTTTTATGTTTATAGTTAACAATAAAGTTGTTTCTATTTTGTAACAATTGAATGAATTAACAACTTTTGCTGTTTAGTATTTATTCAATATTTTTTCTCTTATAGTAGGCACTGCATTTATTTCTGATGCAGTAGTAAATTGTTTGTTGGGATATTAGGGCTGATTTTTAGGATAAATGAGAAGCTTGATGCTGAGGGGTATTTTGATTTTTTTAGTGAAGAACTGTGACTATTTTAGTAAATATCCTGTTTCTACGTACTAGATGTGGAAACACCAGACTTATCAGTCTAAGTAAATAGTAACTGCTGATTTTTTTGAGAGTATTTAAGCTTATGTTTACCAATATGTTTTTTAAAAAACAGCTTGCTCTGAGGTATGATTTACTGTAAAATTAATATGCTTTAAGTGTACGGTTCAACGATTTTTAGCAGATGTACTAAGTAGTGAAACCATCACCATCATTCAGTTTGGAGCATTGTCATCATCGAGTAAGATCCCTGGTCACCAGGACCTTTCTTGGCTGCATAGAGTTGGTGGCAAAAGATTTCTTACAACAGGGCTGTATTTATTGCTTCTCTTAAAGGAAAGCAAATATGTTCCATTCACCCGCACCAAATATACATATCACCAAATAGTGTAAATTTTATTTAGGGGACTATGTGATGAGAATGCATAAAGTGTTTTTGAATTTTCCAAACTTTTAGCAAGGAAAATCTTGCATCAGAGAGAAAAATTCTTTCATGTTTATTTTAGAGAGTCCCAATTAAGTATTTTTCAGTTTGACTTTAGTTTTTGATCTTTTCAGCTGGTTTATTTTTAGCAGATCACAGTAGACAAGATTGACAAGCTAATAAAAAGCCCTTTCAATTATTTACTGCACATAAACATCAAAACCTTCCTAGGCAGGTCATGCTTATAGATATTAAAATGATAAAGAACTAATAGATGGAACAGTGTATCATCAGAGTAATAAATGCAGTGGCTTTGCAAGCATGCTGTTTTCCGTCTGTTTCACCAGAGGGCACTCTTTTCTAGTTTATAACTTTTAACTCTGATCTATCCAATTAATATTTTACACTTTGAAAATTGTAAGTCCTTTATTGGGATCCAGGTTTGGATCATTTGGAGACTAATGATTGTTTTCTTTTATAACTTTTATTCATTTTTTTGTGTGTGTGATCAGTTTTTTAATTGTGCCATGAAAAGGGTCTCTACAAACAAGCCAGTCTTAAATGCTTTAGGTAGTAATGTTTCAGGTATAAAATATCTCCTCAATTTAGCCTTTAAAATTTTTTTTTGTTTGCCTAACAGCTCTGTAATGTCACTTCTTCTGTTTGTTGTGTTAAGGTTTCAGATCGGGTGGAGCGGCGGCTTCAGGAAATAGAAAAGGAGATGCGCACAGAAAGAGAGCTGGTGGAAAGACGCCAGGACCAACTGGGACTTATTTCTATGCAGCTACAAGAGGTTTGTGACAAACGCCTTCCAGAATGTTCATCTTGAGCTTGGATACCTGTTTAGCTGTGGTTAAAATGGTTCTAGTTCCTTAGTTGCTGCAAGTGACAGTGTAATTCAGTCCACATGAGAAGTATAGCAGATTGGTTGTGGTTTAGTGGGTGAAGTCAACCCTCCCTGCGTCAAACCCAGAGTCTGCTGCTTGCTGGCTGTGTGACCATGGACTAGTTCCTTAACTCCCCTGACCCATTTCCTCTGCGGAAAGTGGAAATAATCATAGTTTTAACCTAGTCAGATTGGTGCGAAGATAAATGAGTTAATGCCAGCAAAGCACTTAACATAGTGTCTGGCATGAGCTCAAAAAATGTTAACTGAAAGTATAATTCCTCTGATTAATTTTCCTTGACATGACAGGGGTCAGCGAACGATGGTCAAATGGACTGAATCTGGCCCATTGCCCATTTTTGTAAATAAAATTTTATTGGAACACAGCCATTCCCATTCATTCCCAATTTGTTTGGGGGTGCTTTTGTGATGCAGCGACTGAGAAGAGTAGTTATGGAAGAGACTGCATGGCCCACAAAGTGTACACACACACACACACACACACTTTGTGTGTGTGTTAGTTGTGCACATTATGTCAATATATTTACACCTGAATAATATGGTGTGTGTGATCTCTTCCTTAATCACAGGAAATTAACATTGGAGCAATACTATGATTTAGCCTATAGCTTTTTATTCAAATTGTGCCACTAATGTTCTTTTCTGGACCAGGATACAGTTCAGGGTCACATATAGCATTTGGCTGTCGTGTCTCTTTAGTCTCCTTTAATCTGGAACAGTTTTTCAGTCTTTCTTTGTCATTCTTACCTTAACAGCTTTGTAGAGTACTAGCCAGTTATTTTGTAGAATGTCTTTCATTTTGGATTTGTTGATGTTTTCTCACAACTAGATTCAAGTTATGGACTTTTGGCAGGAAACCCAGAGTATTGGTATTGAGGCCTCCCCAGATATCATGTCAGGAGGTGTGTAATGTCAATTTGTCTCGTTACTGATGAAAACAACCTTTGGTTAAGGTGTTGCCTGCCAAGTTTTTTCACCATAAAGTTGCTGTTATATGTTTTTAATTATTAGTTTTATGGTGAGATGCTTTGAGACTTGAAAATAACCTATTTCTTATCATACCCATGAATTTTAGCATCTATTGTTGATTCTAGTGTGAAACGCTTATTACTATAAGTGATGCTAAATGGCGATTTTTAAAAAATTCCATCATTTTGTCCAAATTTATTAGTTGAAATCCTACTGTAAGGAAGGGTTTTGCCTTTTTCTTCATCTGTTCATTCATTTTTATTGGTATAGATTTGTGAATTCTCATTGTATTGGTTATGTTTTATTATTATTATAGAAGATAAATTTGTTAAAATTCCCTTAAAATGTTTCTTAGATCTGTACATAAGGTATAAAATTAGAAACAACAAGAAAACAAAAGGATTAAAAACAAAAGGAATTTTTTTTTTTTACCAAACAGTTTTCTCCAAAAGTGACATTCTACAAATCCACTCATGTGTGCTTGGAGATCATTAACCCTTATTAATTGACAGATTTAAAAAAATTTAAGTAAATACACAGCCAGTTGAAAATTAGGAACAAAAATTGCAACCCTGAAATTATAATGCAAGTTGATAGGAAAAGCTGCTTTTGTTTTCTAAAATTCCATATTCCTTCATTTCACAAAAGGAGGCATACCCTTGTTAGTTGGTAGTTACTTTGAAAATGATACTTTGTTGAATAATTAGATACAGCATGTAGGTAGCCTTTTTTTAAAACCTTGATTTTTATACATTTGTTCTCAAAGCAAATTGCATCTGGTGAGCATAAGAATAGTACTGAAGAGACAATTGTTCTTTTTTGCAAGAGAAAATTAGAGGAATTTTCCGTACTTATTTTCTTCTCTCTTTGCAGAATGCACAAAATTACAAAGAGAGAGGGAGAGGAAGATTGCTTCCCACCCCCTTTGAGAAACCAGAGCCTGAATATTTGCATTGTAATTGTCAGTTTGACTAAAAGCTTGAGCTGTGATTTGGAATTCCATCTCTGACAATACAATAGAGGATCACTATTGATAAGAAATGTTTAATTTCATATTTTGTCACTTTAATGTAAGCGGTGACCTATATGCTTTTAAAAGGTGTTTTTGGATTAAATAGTGCAGAGGAAACTGGGAAGGATTAATTCAGGTTGATGCATTTCCTATGCCAGGTTAAGTGGCTTAGACTCTTCTGGAAAGGTCATGTTTAAGGAGAGGAAACACTTTGCTTTCTTTTCGATATTAAAAAATACTTGTGGAAATACACTGTTTGATAAAAGTAATTGGTATATTTTGTTTCTGGCTATGGAGAGAAACTGAACCTGCATTGTTAGCCATTCTACTTCCCTAACATGTATAATTCAATGTTACTGAAAATTATGACATTTAAAAGTTGTTAAGAGATTAAGGCATTGATTAAGAATTGTATATATCAGAGATTTCTAGGCGTAATGTCGTATTACAGGAGGCAATCTGTGGCTTGGGCTAAAAACCTCCTTCTTTTTAGTGACCTAGTGAGGTCCTTAGGTCCTCTGAGCTTTATCTGTTCCCATTTAATTAAAAGCAGTATTTATTAATCATTGGAAATCAGTTGAGGGAAAGCCACTCTCCTTTTCTTGTTTAGAGTTTTTCAGGAATTGTTGACTCCTCTGTTTTTTGTTCCTTTTCTCCTGTTGGTCTAAGCCAGAGGGCTGTGCGTCCTCTGGAGGCTGCTTCCCTTTCTGAGCCTCTGCTGCTTACTTGCTGCTGCTGTCACATGCACGTCAGGTTTTCATACCTGAGGATCTTCACTGCCCTTCAGACCTCAGGGATGGCAGGTTAAACAGCGTTGTTTTGGTATCTCAACAGAGGTCTCTTTAGAGGGAGGAATGTTTTGTATTAGTTTTGCAATAGTGTCCTTTTCATGTATCTTTCAGTTCTGAGTGGTGGTTTTAATACTCCGAACTTTTACTGATCAGATTCAAGTATCCTTAAGCTCATAACCGCCATCAGCCTTTCCTTGTGGAGCCATTGTGCAAACACTACAGTGTCTGTTTAACATTAGGTAGATTTATCATATAAGCAGAGTCCTGTTGATCAGATGCTTAATAGTAAGGTACCCTCGATTTAGTTAAGTTTAGTGGAGTGGGGAGGAGTGGTGGGTGCTAGGGTCACGAAAGAAGTATTTTGACTGTAATCTCAAGTCAAAACTTTTTTACAGGTTCAAACTTTACATAAAATCCTAGATAAAATTTCTAACTCTTGACTGTGGCATTTTGGAAATTTCTGACTTGGTTTTTACTAGCTGTTTCTTATAAATTGAATGTTATTCCTTCATCTTCAGTTGAATTACTTAAAATGAAAAGCAGGAGGTAAATGCTGGGTGTGTGTTTGTATATGCTTTTCAGAGCATTTCAGAGCATGTTAAAATGCTAGTTTCCTCATCCACCCCCATCAGGAATATTGCATATGACCTAGGGTGATTGAAGTGCCTTAAAGGTTAAAGGTGCTTCATGGAAAAGTCTGTGAGGCATGGGGTCTTAGTAGAGGACGGTGAAGATTAAAGTGAGGAATTAAGTGCAGGGTGGGAGCTCAGCTCAGTCGTTTCTCAACCTGGAAAATCAGATTATGTGAGCTTCATCAATAAAATAATGCCATTTTCAGAAAAGTTAATTAATATTGGCTTTTTTTAGTATTTTTCTTCATCTTTTGGCAACTGTGATAATTATGAAAAACGTAATAAAGGAGTAGCTATTCATTCCTTCCCCGAAATGTAACTGTGGCTCCAGAGACACTGAGTAAAATGAACACTTCATGTAAGAAAAGCCTTGGGTACTATTATTAATGTATTTAGTTTGGACTCATTAAGGGAGAAGTTTCCAGGGATGCCAGAGTGTTTTCCTAATGCCCCCTTAATGGCATTAGCATCGCCCTTGAGATTTCTGTGTCAAATCAGAGGGGAGCCTAGTAAGACCAATGTTCTGAGGTGGCCGCATCAGCCCCTTCTCCTGCACTTCCTTTGGTGATTACCCTACTTGATTTGGAGACACAGATGTTGTGCTCACCTTTCCAGGGCTGAACTGGAACTTTTGCTTGGCCATTCCCTTTACCCTCTTCTTGGTCCCATAGTCAGTGCCCTCTTTTTGGTAGTTATCTCCCACATTTTCACTTATTTTTTTAATGGCACAAGCCTCCCTTACCCCATTGATTGATTAGATATCTTTTATATAAATGCCCATTAAATTACCCTCCCATTGACCATCCTAATAGCCTCCTTGGGCTTTGAGAAAAGACAGATGGCATTTACAAGAAAATGGAAGTTTAAAAATAAATAGAAGTTCTGTCCTGGCCTGCTTGACTCAGTGGTTAGAGTGTCAGCCCTCAGACCAAGGGATCTAGGGTTTGACTCCCAGTCACGGGCACTTACCTGGGTTGCAAGATCCCCACCCGGTCTGGTCTGCGGGAGGCAACCGAAGACCTCGATGTTTCTCTCTCCCTCTCCCCTTCCCTCCCTCCTACTCTCTCTAAAAATCATTGGAGAAAATATCCTTGGGGGAGGATTAACAAAAAAAGAGTTCTGTGGAAAGCACAGCAATGCTCATTATTTTCCCACTCCTTGGGATATGAGCTCTAGAATTCAACTCTTTGCTAGTCCCCGTGATCAGGTGTGTAGTGGCCAGAGAGGAACACAGGCAGGGTGACACACACAGGGTCCTGACTACCAAGGCGGTGAAGGCACCGAGTATCACAGTGGGACAGCCACACAGATACTGCTCTGAAGGAAAATGTGTGCTACATGGGAACATTTGAAAACTGCTCTAGTGTTTATTCTTCATGAGTGAAGCTGTGTGTGTAGGATAAGTCTGGGCCTTATTTTGAGCTACACCTTTTATTCTTTTAATAAACCCTAATCCCATTGACTATTTTTCTCTCTCCTCCT